CTAAAAAGTGCAGTTCCCGAGGCCTGATATATACCAAAAGTTGATCGATCCGTGCCATGGTGGAAACAAACTTACATATAAATCATCAAAATCGGTTCAGCCGAACTTGAGATACACGCGTGCACACACAGACCGACAGACCGACAGACGGACAGACCGACAGACCGACAGACCGACAGACCGACAGACCGACAGGTTGCTAAAAATAGTTTATTTACACTTCCCTACTATGGAGAAGTACGTTCCCACCGAAAACTCGATATGCAAAATTTGTTGCCATCACATAACCTACCTATTGTTTACACAATACGGTCGGTAAAAAAGAGAAATTGCACTATAATTAGATTTTGAAGAAACAGTGATGCAAGGATATTGAATTTTAACATTTTCACATCGACATAATAGAAAGGAAAACAAAACAAAAAAAAAACAACAAGAAAAATTCAATTAAATTTAAGCACAATGTTAATTCCATTTTCGAAATTGGCAATTAATATTTAATAGCTTTTTTTAGATCTTGCTCCATAAAGCGAGATTTTTTTTAAAGTGAAAAAATAACTGCTGCTTTTCCTTCCCTTTGCATGTTTCTCTATTGTAAATGAATTTATAATGGAATGGAAACAGTGGAAAGAAAAGGTACAATGTAAACAAAAAGAGTGTAGAGCAAATGAAAACGGTTCATTTTCCTTTTTTGATAGAATTTTATTTAACTGATATAAAAATATTTGTAGCGTTTTTCAGTGTAACTGTCTTAGAAAGATTTTAAAATCATAAGGTAATTATGAAGAGTATGAGGAAAGTATGAGGAAACCATATCTATCAAAATTGCAGTGAATTTCAATTATGTAAATCTTTGCTCTTGTAAAGTCACTGCTTAAATTTTCTTAATATCAGCTACATCAAAAGAAATTTTTCTATATTAAATTGTTGGACTTATCACCTCAGAACTTACTTTCAAACAAACTGGTCTTAGAATTTAATTAAAAAATTAATGAAATTTGTAATGAAAATCGCGTTTTTAAAATATTGTATGGCACTGAAAAGTTAGGGTTCATGTTGTGAGACCTTCTTTCGAAGTAATCTTCAAATATATTTTGAGATCAGAAAAGAAAACATTTTAAAAACGAGAAAAAAATATAGTTGACCTTGTCAACTCTGTGATACCCGTACGAATTTGTTATCCTATGGGAATTACATGAGTTTGTTATCCTGCGAATTAAGATGCCATAACTGACTATAGGGCGGATTATGACTTTAAGTTGCCGTATTACCATATTAATTTATGCAAAATTTCAGTGCTATGTGTTTTTCAAAATACTGTGTGTGCGAAACTACTATTGAAGTTGTATGGCAGCTACCAGAAAGAGTCAAGAAATTTTAACAAGTTTTATTAAGCACATCAGCCCTACTAATTTATTTGCTTGTGTGAAATTTCAATACCACAGCTTTTATAGCTTCTGAGATATAGCCAAATAACTTTTGAAGTTGTATGGCAGGTACTAGACCGAGCCAAGTAATTTCAACGACTTTTATAAAACACATTGGCCCTACTAATATATTCGTTTGTGTGAAATTTCAATACCCCAACTTTTATAGTTTCTGAGATGTAGCCAAATAAATTTTGAAGTTGTATGGCAGCTACCCGAACCGGTACCCTGATCATGTCCAATTTAAATAAGGTTCTGGCACTTACTACAATAAATCATTTGTGAAAATTTGGTAAACTTAGCTCAATTAGTTTTTAAGTTATCGCTGGGACGGGCGGACGGACGGACAGACAAAGCTAAATCAACTCAGAATTTGACGCTGATCAAAAACATACACTTGAGTCTATATCTAAGACCGTTATTTCTTAGCGTTACAAACGGTAAGGCAAATTTAGTATACCCTTCGAACATACGTTCGTATGGGTATAATCAGAAAATATAAAAAATTATAATAAAGAATCTTACGCTGCTTGCGAAACAAATTTCCGCGCAATTTGAACTTAGTTCAGAATTATTTGTGTTAGATCAGGTTGGATCGATGAAATTATCGTAAGGCACTGAATCTTCAAAAGAGTAAATTAAAAGTTTTTCGAAATATCGATAGAAATTTTAAAAATGAGAAAGGAACATCAGAAATTTACAAAACCAGAATGAGTTATGAAACCTTGGTTTCCCATTTTGAGACGACATAGTTTTTTTTTTTATTACTAAAAAATATTTTGTTTAAAGAACTACAATTTAGTGAAAATGGAAAACATCAGAATAAGGTTAAGTTCATGTTGGCAGATCTTAAAACCTAATTCTACTTCCTTCAGTTGGCAGATCTTAAAACCTAATTCTACTTCCATCAGCGCTATTCTAAAGCATAAAATTTAAAAACTGAAGGTTCTACTTTTAAAAGCAGTTGACAGAACTCCATAAATGACATACCAAATTTTTAATACTAAATAATAACTAACAGCTTTTCAATTAAATTTTTAGGTTATATTAGTTTCTAATTATTGTTAGCATTAATTTTCATGCTTACAATATTAGAATAGATCTTTCAAAGTTCTTTACACGAAAACTATCTGCTTTTTGCAGTGTTGTCACAAAAACGTACTACATTTTCAGATCTAAGTAAAGGCTGTCAACATGAACTCAACCTTATTCAACTTACAACTTCTAGCATCAAATCAATAAAATCTACTGCAACAAATTGTTTGACGTTTCCTAGAAATATTATCGCAATATCGCCTCGATTGCTTACAATTTTTTCTATACTTATCATATAGAATTGATCATATTACAACTCAGTCATTTTCGGTACTTCTCTGTCCACAAACCGTTCTATAAAATAGTTTTGAAACCAAATTTCATTTATTAAGAAAAAAAATAAATTTTTAGTGTTCACATTGAAAGTAAAAATTGTAATTTTAAAAACTAAAAATGGGAAATTTAAACACAAATCAAAGCATTGTCTATAATGTCAAATGAATGTCGTAAATTTGTTAAATAAATTCAATTTTAAAAAGTTTTTCTTGTATAAAATTTAGTAAAATCAAAATATACGATTATAAAATTTGAGACGTTCAAAATTCTTTCTTCATTGTCTTTCGTCTTTCTGAACACAGAAAAATCTAAAGGATAAATCAAGCTATAATGTAATAAGGATAATTTAAAATTTCATTTGTAAGTATGATTTTCTTAATATTATTCTTCCAATAATAAAAGACAAGACAAAAGAAAACAAGGGATTTATCTTCAATAAATATTTTTTTTCTTTTTTGAAGTTTCATCCTTGAAAAACGGTCTCGTCAAATAATTTATTTTTATTTAAACTAAAAGTTTTCAATTTTTCAAGTCTACGTTTCTTATTATCCTTGTCTCATCAAATATTTTCTATCAATTCTCTTTCTCTTATAGATTTTACAAAAGTTATTTATTGTTACCGAATGCAGTGAAAATCGTGCAGAAGAAGTACTTAAGAAAGTAAATAGAAAACTCTTAAACGACTTTATTATACATTATTCTTGCACAAACAGTGTATACGAGTATAATGAGTGAGTTTAGTTAATTAAAACTTTTTTAGAAACTTCAATTTTGGATAAACTCAATGTAATCTCAAAAATTGTTAAGAACAAATTTCTAGTTTTTAAAGCCTTTCATGGATTATTTCCTACAACCACGCCGCGTATATTAAGGACATGCCAGAAAATTACCGTTTCAAATTTATTAATTTTGATTAGTAGTTGGTAAGCATGGCTTAAAAAGCTGATTCTGAATTCAATGGGAGAAAAATATTCACAGTTTAAAAAAAAATGTTATTAAATTTGCCACAGTTTTTGGCATGCTTTTAATGATAGAAACCAAGAGAAATTGGGATAGTGGACAAAACATAACATTTTCTACCAAGTTTCATTGGACTGCATTCTAAACATTAGTTGCTATTTTTACCGACCGCATGCGTATACAATGGCGTAGGTTATGTGATGGCATCAAATTTTGAATGTCGCGTTTTCGACAGGAACGCTCTTCTTTTCACTAGTTTTAGAGAGATGTCGGTTTGTCCGCCTGTCGGATCGGTCTGTCGGTATGTGGGTGCACGCGTGTACCTCAAGTTCGATTGAACCGATTTCAATGAAATTTTATATGTGAGTTTATTTTGGCTATGGCACGGATTGATCAACTTCTTTGATATATCAAACCTATAGGGAACTGGACCTTTTTGCGGGCCAATTTTACATTTTCCCGCATAAGATGGCCTCGGAAACCGAACCGATTCTACATTTTTACCACATCTACGGAACGGATTGATGGAATTCCTTGAAATTTGATATTTAAGTTCTGGTTGTTACCAAAACTAACTGGTGAACTTTTCAGATTTTTTTATTTTATGCAGCTAAAAAATACCAGTCGTTTTCATTATTCAGGACCATATATTATTGCAGATGCAGCATAAAATTTTATTGTTTTCGCAATTATTTATTTTAGTCAAGATTATGTAACTTGACTTAAACCATTCTCTTTCCAGATTTTATATATAGAAAAAGATTGTCAGCATTTACTTAAGCAATATTTTATAACAGTACAAACAAAAATAATAATACAGGGGGAGTTGTAAGTTAATATAATTTTGTTACAGAAATAGTCATATTTGGTTAAATTTTCAACGTTACGTCGTAATTTTAGAAATGTTTTGTTTGTCGTGTACAGATAAAGAATCTCACAAGGTCATAAGATCTAGCTACATTTTATGTGTCACAAATTAGCTATGTAAAAAACTACAGAATAAATATGTATTCAATATTAAGGCAGAAATTATGCTAATTTTGTAAAAAAAAATATTGTAACCAAAATAGTAACCAGTTTTTTTGGTGTACTTTTGTCACAAACTCTCTCCTTAAAAAAATTCTCTTAATACAATATAAGTTTAACTTTCTTTTACATAAAAGAGTTAAAAATTAATTTATAAAAATTGTTATTAATTAAATTATGCAACCACTTTAAAAATTTTTTATTTTTTTTTTTCAGGGGATAAGGATACAGGACATTTTTCAATAAAAGATGATTAATTAAGTCAACTTCAATAAACTGTCCATTGAAAATATCATGTTTAATTGAAAAGAACAAAAACAAAATAAAAACTAGCAACATAGCATTTCCAAAGGAATCGTGAGCGAAAAAGGAATGTTAAGAGAGGAAAAATATTTTTAATTTTCAGCTTTACTTTCGCATTATACCGTAATAAAAAAAATACTTTTCACTTGCTTATAATTTCATCATTGTCATCGCATAGCCTGCCGTCAATGTATACATAATTTGATTTCATATAACAAAGTTATTATCGCGCGTATAACATCAAAATTTATTTCCATTTACATTATCCGCCACAAAAAGGAATAAATGCATATGTATGTGTAAATCATCGTGTTATTAAGGAGCACTACATATACTACAATATCAACTCATATATACTTATATACATATATATATATAAAATTTTGTAATAATGATGAGAATTGATGATAAAATACAACTATTTTTATTATTAAATTAAATTAATTTTTTTTATCGAACGGCGAACAACACACGATGAATTTCAGAGATGATATAAAAAATCGGATAATTTTAATAAAAAGATTTCGAAATCATAAAAAACAGAATAAAAAAACTACTAAAAAACCAAATCGAACAGAATATGTTGAAAAATAAACGTCAACCAAAACCGGTAAGTTATTAATCACCTGGCCATTTGTCATTTCATTTGTTTTTTATTTATTTACCTGATTATTTATTTTAAATAATTATTGCATTATTTGTGATTAATATAGGAAAATTATTCATAGTAAAATTACTATTGGTTAAAAATAATTGGTTAAAAATTAAATAAAAAAATTTTATTTTAATAATTTTAATTTTAAACTTTTTTAATTTTCCAAAGTCTAAATGAACGAGTAGAGTTAATCTTAAGTTTACTTAAAGTTTTTGTTCATTTGGTTTTTTTTTTCAAAAATTGGTTAAGATAATTATTATCTAAATTATTTATTACTATATATATATTTATATTTTGTTAAGTTAGAAATAGAGTAGAAGTTCTATAATTAATTCATAGAATATTTAGATTTCTTCTGCCAATAAAAAATATTCATGTTCGTACTCTACATATTTTTTTTTTGCTGAAAATCTATTTAATAACAGATTAACCTCATATGCTCATTAATAAAATCTTGAAAGCGAAAAAGTATGCACTAAATTTATAATATAAATAAAATTGATAATCTCAATAGTTGCAGCTGTATAACCAATTGAACTCATCTTGCTTTAATTTGCATATTAATATGTAAATAACTTATAACTTATTTAGCAGAAATTAAGATGAAATTATTAAAAATGCTTAAATTGCTCTTATATTTTTAAGTAAAAGAAGAAAATTCGTAACTTTCAAATTAATAACGTTAAACTGTAATAAGTCACAAATAAATGATTCAAATTGTGGTTTGATCTATAGCTATCAGCAGTGTCTATAACGATACTTATTCTTTTTAGAATCTTCTTTAATTCATTTTACATTAATAATTCGCCCATAATTTTTAATATGTCGCTTATTCTATAATTACATTTTATCGTTTCACTTTGCTTTGAAAAACAAGCTTATCAGACGGTATAAACAAAAGTTATTTAAAGTGTTACCGTTGTGTATATGTTATGATCGTATTCGTATTATCGTATCGTATAAGGTGTATACAAGTTTTGCTCACAAATTGAATAAGCTTCTTACACAGTAAAAGCCATTACATATTATTCATTCTTAATATTTTTTGAAAATTAAACGGTAAATCTGACACCTATCATCAGTTTGCCGTTATATAGTTCTATTAATTGGAACCCACCATTATGATTTTTTACGATATGTATAGTAGCTTGTTTTCAAAATAAATGTATTCATGCGAAGCTTCATAGTAAACGTACTATTCATGAACTTCATACAGCTACTAAAACAATGCGATAATGAGTACAGAGATGCAAGATTTTTATATTTTGTGATGTAAAACTCAAGATCATTTCAAATTAACTACAATAAATATTGGTGGGCCTATATATTTTGTGAGTTAGCGAGAACCTTATTTAATTTAAAATTTTTCATCCATTATATTAATCATTTATGTTGGCTGACATATTATGCACTATTCAATATTTTCGAACATATTGAACTAAGTGCGCGCAAGGGGCTTCAAGTAATAAATAAACAGTGTAGTAATAAACATAAGGGTTCATTAATTCTCCTAATCACTTTTCATGACTTCATATTTTTCCTTCATATAATAAAAATTATATCGGGAAAAAAACATAATGTGATTCAAAACAGTCTTGGCTGTAGCAATACAATAAATTATATTTGATTGAAATTTATCACATGTCCCGACATAATAGTTTCTGTTAAAGCTACAATCCGCATTACAAACCGCATTACTTGTTGTTACTTGTTGTCTCTTTCGGTTCCATACATAGTTGCGATATTCACTATTATAATTAATTATTAGGAATTCGAAATAAATATGCGGCAACTGTTTACAATATCTTAACAATAATAGTTAATTTTAAGCTCTGTTTAATATTAGCGAAGCTGAGGAAAAGTTATTTGTGACTCATACAGATTTTAACAACGAAAGTTACGTGTTTTTCAACTAAACATTTTATATTAAATGGAAAATTTAATAGCAGAGACATTTCTATTTTAATTTCATTTAAAAATTTTTTTTTTGTTTTATAATTTTAACAGCTTAATGCCAAATAATACTAATTTTACGCTACAAAAACCATAAAACTAAAAACATTAATAAACTTAAAATATATTTTTAAATCTAAAAAATCTTGTTTTAACATTAATAGCCAAACCTCATTACGTTATGCTTTAAATTTTCAAAGAAAAATTTAATAGTGTGCATTGTAAACCAGTCTCATATTATAAACGTATCTTAACCATTTTACATTTTACAGATAAAAGTTTTATTATTAATTGCATACTCACATTAAACAAAATACCATCTCACTATATCTTAATCTTAGAATTTACATTTTATCGTCATATAACATAGTTATACAAAATATTGGTGTTTAGTTTTTAATATTATTATATAAAATTTTCTTTGCATGAATTTCTAATTTTGAAATTTTGCTAAAATGCTTTTTTGCGCTGCATTCTATTTAAAAGTTTTAAGAATACAAAAATTTCACTATAACACTTAGTTATCATTAGCATGATTGGTTGTTCTATTACCTATATGAGTGCATTTTACTACTCAAAATATCTTTAAAGTTTTTCTATTTTAATATCTCCTCAAAATGAAAAAAACAAATTTACTTTGATTCTACAAAAACGTATTTGTGCGAAAGGATCATTGAACGTGCTGTGGTAAATTCAAATCTCGTGTGTGTACGCAATGAGTTCTTACATTTAACTCTGCTGAACAATAATGACATACACTTGCTAAGCCTAAAAGATATAACATTACAATACAGAGTGTTAAAAATAAGTTTTCAGCTTAAAATAACAATCTTTTAATGTACGTGGTGCATGCATTCACTGAATTTTCTCAATTAAAACAGAGGATTACGTTTAATTTTAATTAAATTTAAAAAAAATTGTCATAATATTCTTTAAGAGCAGGGGAATATAAAGTTCTAATACCCCACTCTTAATTTATTTGGAAAAAATATTTTTATAAAATTTTTAAAAATGTTATGAAGAGAAGAATTCTTGCTTTAGAATTTTACTTTATGTTCTTCAACTTACAACCCACAAAATAATTAATACTCTGTAAATTTGAACTAGGTTTAGGGTTGACTTTAAAATTAATCCAGGATGTCAGCAACAACGATTTCACTACTAATTCTAAACAATAATAATATTCTTAGAGCCAAAGAAACATTCAAGAAGAGATACGGCACATCTTGTACCTTTTTATTTGTAACTTATGCACATTTATGTTACGCATAAGTTATAATTGTAGGTACTCAAAAGTGTGTTATGATATAATTAACTATACAGAAAGATTACTAAACGTAGTGGAAAATTAACACTTAAGAGTTTGAGTATCATTTTGTTCTTTTCCAATGTAACAAACTCTTCAGTTGTTAAGTTGCATTTAATGCTCAAGTATTTCAGTACTTATTAAAAATATTTATTTTACATAATTTTTAGTTTCTAGTGTCGTGAAATTTTTAAACGATTTTTATTGCCACTTTGAAATTTTTCTCGTCTTTTTCAAAATATGCGAATTGGAGTTTTTTTTAACACAAATCAGTATTTAAAACAATATTCATTTATTCATGCACTATAAGAATTTTTATTTGAAAACTTGCACAAAGCTAATACGGTACTAGACACTATTTGTTAGTTCTTTTTGAATTTTTTTATAATTTAGTGCAAAGTGTTTATGAAGTATTTCCGTTTTGCATGCTTAGTGCAAGGTTTCATTACAAATTGCAGATTTGTAGCATTCTAAATTGAAAAGTTTTATATCCTCTGGTAGTTTAGAACCATATCTAACGGTATAATAGTAAAAATAACGGCGTAATTCAAAATATAGAAATCTGCTCCTGAAAAGTTTGTTTTTTTTTTCAAATTAAACTGAGCATTTTCTCTGTACTGTGCTCTGAAATTGCCCAGTAACATTAAAATAACAGTACGGTAGTCTTTTGAAAGGGAAAACAGCTTCCAAACGATAATACATTTGCTAGTCCTTTAAAGCACATATGAAAATATCGCCACATAAGACTTTCCGTCTTAAATTCATTCTTCAAAACTCTTTTAAATGAGTTGCATATAATCTTAATAATTTACTTAAATACTAATACTTCCATTGAAAACTCCAAAAAGAAATATCAAATTTATTACACTTACACACATAAATAAATTTCAAAAATAATTCAGAATCATTTTAAATGCAAAATCTATTTAAAATATTTATTTAAATCTTGGAAAATTCAATTTCTTTTATATAAAAATACAAAAAGAAAATATTTAGTGTTGATTTTTCTTAAATTTTTCCCAAAAATAATTTGAATTTTATTCACTTAAATCTAAAATGGAATACAAAATTTGTATTTATTCTATACTTAAGCTTAAAAAAAAACAGATAAAATGTTTTCACTCTGAAAATTTTCTAAAAAATTTGTAAAAAAAAAAATTCAATTGAATGTGAGATTCGGGAAACATTGATTTCAACACCTTTCATTATTACTGTGATACACGCGAGGGTATTATGCTTTTATCAAACATTATTTTTACATTCTTACTCTTTAACACAAAACGAAAACGTTGAACAGTCTTTGTTAGAGTCAAAAGAGAGAGGCGGGAAAATTTCCAAAACAAAAAGTAAAGAAAATTTAACTTTCGCTTAAAGGCATTATTTCTCAGGTAAAATTGAAGCAAAATAAAAAATATGAAAAATTATACCTTGTGAATTTTCCGAAATTTTTCTTTTATAAAAATTTTTACACCTGATTTTATATTTTTATAATATTATCGAAATGACTGTGTTCATCTTGATTATTTTTGCTATTTTCAATAAAAACATAAAATATTTAAACAAACACACCAGCTATAAGCGAAATAATTCATGTATTTTTGAAAGATAATAATCAACGACCGTGAAGTAAATAACCTTCAAAAAATGAAGAGCAGAAAAGAGAAAATTAAATATGTAAATTATTAATCATAGATTG